AGCTGAGCCATCTCTCTAGCCACCATTTATGTCAACCTAGATACGAAGATAGAAAAGAAAACAAATTTTGGGTTCTCAGTTAAGTTTTGAAATATTCCTGAACCAAGTAGAGTATGTACAATTTTTTCCCCAAGTAACAGTTTATGAAATCTAAATATATACAGATCAAGTAATTCTGGGGAGGACTCAGTTCCCAGATTGAGATAAGCTGTAAGGGTAATATGTAAACCAGGTTTAAAGACTTGGTACCAAAACAAACAAACAAAACCCACCAAATTCTGAACACCCCATTAATAATTAAATTATTGATCACATAATAAATTATAAGAATTTAAATATATGGAGATCATTAAAATGTGCCTAAAACTAATTTCAACTGATTATTCCCCTCCCCCAGCTGTTAGAGAATTTAAAATCATCTATGAAGCTGAGTGGTAGAGGTGTAGGCCTTGAATCCCAGAGCCGAGAGGCAGAGGCAGACGGATCTCTGTAAGTTCGAGGCCGGCCTGGTCTACAGAGCCAGGACTACACAGAGAAACCCTGTCTCGAAACAACAGTCACAACAAATCATCCATGTGGCTTGCATTCTGTTTCTGTTGGTCTAGGCTAGACTATCTGCCTGCTGCACAGATCATACTGTTGGTACCTAACACGAGTTGACCTGTACTAGGGGTTGGGTAAATCTTTATGGAGGAAGATGGTTTAACCTGGTAGGGAGGAACTACTACTTGGCAAGATGGTTGCTCAGGTGACACGCACACACACACACCCCCATACAAATACACACACCACACATACATGCACACATGTGCGCGCACACACACACAGCACATATACGTACACATGCACCCCCCCACATGTACCCCCTCCACACAGACATACCCCACATACACACACAAACCACACACGTGTGCACACATACGTGTACACACACCACACATAGACACACACACGCACACACCCCTATGGCCTGATAAAGCAAGTGCCTAGTTGGCTCTCCTGATCTGCAGCTTGGCTTTTGTGCTGGGTGGGGAATTATGCAAAGAACCTGACTCCCCCGTGGTGTAAATTACCTTCTGCGCACAGGAAGAGGAGGAAAAGAATGCTTCCTCTGGAGCCTACCGGGGAAGATTGCCTTTTCTGTTGACTGCACAGATCTGTCTATGCTGGGATCCTGATCAGCCCTTTGTTCAAAATAAGCGGCCTAGATGATCTAATTAAGCCAGTCCCTCCGGCTGTAAAAATACCTTGCTTTACTGCTCGCCCCTCCAGCAGGGTGATCTCTGGACATGCTTGTTAGATGGCAAACACATCGTCTGAGTGGCCCCTCCCCCCGTTATACATCCTAGCCAGCTTCTCCTGAGGTAAGCTAGCTGTGTCGGGGGCGTGAAAGACAGGGTGTTTCTGTCTCATAGCTTTAGGACTGTCAGGTGAGTTAAGTATTTTAATTACAAGCACATGGAGATGGAGTTAGGCAGTGGTCCTCGTGACCCTCTCCACAGGAGTCACCCAAGACCATCCTATTTGCATTATGATTCTTAACAGTGGCAAAATTATAGTTATGAAGCAGCAACAAAAATGATGTTGTGGTTGGGGTCAGCAGCACCGGAGGAACCTATTAAAGGGCGGCAGCGTTAGGAAGGTTGAGAACCACTGAGAGCCACCTGCCATGGAATTGAGCTAGGGTCTCCTGGGTACTCTAACAGCTGAGCTGCCTCCGCTCTCAGACAATTTTTGTTGATGTTGTTGTTGTTAAAACACTATCTTTTAATCTGGGCAGTGGTTGTGCAGGCCTCTAACCCTAGCCCTCAGGAGGCAGAGGCAGGCAGATCTCTGAGTTTGAGGCCAGCCTGGTCTACAGAGAGAGTCCCAGGGCAGCCAGGGCTACACAGAGAAACCCTGTCTCAAACCCCCACCTCACCTCCCCCAAAAAGACTGTTTTGTGCAAACTGGGTGTCGTGATACGTGCTCATAACCCCACTACTTGGCAGGTGGAGGGAGGCGGGAGTCCAAGTTCCTCCTCAGCTACCTAGCAAGTTTGAGGTCAGTCTGGGCTGCATGAGAATCCACGTCAAAAGCCAAAACCAAATCAAACCAACAGGAGCAGCAACAACAAAAAGAATGCTGGTGTGGTGGTGGGGCACACCTTTAGTCCCAGCACTCTGAAGGCTGAGGCAAGTGGATTTCTGTGAGTTCTAGGCCAGCCAGGGATACACAGTAAGACCCTATTTTTTTTTTTTAAAAAAAGCAAATTTTATATTAAAAAAAAATCTTATATAATATGTAGTCATACTTTTCTAAAAATAATTGGTTACCTAACAAATTAAGCTAGGCATCTTACATTTCTGTTTGCCAGTGGCAACCACTGATAAGATCCTGTATTTGCCCAAATCCCATATTGCCCTAAGAGGCACTCACTCGATTGGGCCAGCAAGATGGCTCAGCGGGTAAAGGTACCTGCCCTCAAGCCTGATGATAAGTTTGATCCCCGGGATTAATGAGGTGGAAAGAGAGAACCAACTCCCAAAAGTTGTCCTCTGACCTCCATCTGCACCCTGATAAGCTTCCCCCCAACAAACAAACAATGTGTGATTAAACCAGACCCAGCTGTCTACTCTCTGTGCCTTTGAAGACAAAATGAACTCAGGGAAGGGCCATGCAAACTGTAAAGTACTGCTTTGCTTTGTTTGTCCCTTGCTCTCCTGACTCTTTCATATGCACGTCTGAATTCCCTACCAAGACTGTTGGCCCACGCGGGCAGGAATGGTCTCCCTCTTACTGGTATCCCCCAAATCTGCCAAAACATTTGAGCATCAGTCCGTGCTCAAAAAGCATTTACTAATAACCTTGAAGTAAATTAAAGAACATTGCTATCCAAGGATTTAGGGGGTCTCAAAGCCAATGGATGGACCTGGCAATCTCGCGGGCAGTGCACACATGAAATCCCAGAGTCCAGCGGAATGGAGTTGCACGGCGTGCAAAGAGAGCCTCGCTGTGCATAGGAGGAATCTAGTCAAAGCCCTTCACCCATCCACCCACCACCTGTCAGGGAACCACTGCCAACGGGTAATTGTTCCATGATGTTTCGAGAGGAAGCCTGACTTTCAAAAAGGCGCTGGCAGCATCCATGGGCCAGCGGGGCCTTTTCATACCTGCTAATGAAGCCTCATTAGAAACAGCGGGAGCCTGTTCTGGGAGCTGGAGGCAGCAGTCAGTCACCGCTTTCCCCTGCCAAAAGGAGATTAGCTAACTGACTTGCGCAGCGTGCTTCTGGGAGGAAACACGAAGAGTGTGCGCTCCCTGCCTTCCAGTGGCTTCTAGATTGGGGGGGGGGGAAGGGATGGGGTCCTCACCTTCGAGGCCCCAGGCTGTGAGGTCTTGGCTCAGAGGCAATAATTAAAGGTGATGAGAAAGAAAAGAAAGCTGCCACACACAGTACCCTCGGCATCCAACGTAGTGGCGACAGCTGCACTGTCCTCCTGAGCGGCCCTTGTACCCAGGTGGTTCAATTAGGAGCAATCCCTAGCGCCCAGCTACAGGGGGAAGCGGATGCGCGGTTGAAATGGAGCAGAAGTAGCATCATCTTGCCTATTTCTGTACTTCAGGCGATGAACTGAATTATGTAAGGTACTGTGAGAAGGCTAAGCAACTGGTCTTCTGGGAGACTCAAGAATTCACTTTCACTTTGGTCCTGCAAGGCCAGCAGGGAAATCTACCTGGCACAGTTCTAACGAGGACAGCTTGCTTCTCTTTAAATGTTGTTGCTGCTGTGTTTTTGTTTTTGTTTTTGTTTTTTTGAGACGGGGTTTCTCTGTGTAACAGCCCGTTGGCTTGTCATGGAACTCACTCTGTAGACCAGGCTGGGTTTGAACTCATAGAGATCTGCCTTTCTCTACCTCCTGAATGCTGGGATTAAAGGTATGTGCCTCTGCCACCCACCCCCCAGTCCTTTGTTTTTAAATAAATATAAATAATGTTTATTTGTTGTTTTGGAGCTTTACATACGATGGTCTTCAAACTTTCCTCCACTGGATATATCCCTCTGTTGGGATGAGATGCTCACAGTGACAGAGGGGACAAAGGTTGAGCTTATCTTGGTCCGCGTGGCAGGAAGGTGACAGAAATGGAAGTGTTAAAACCGTTGTGGTGCGATGTAGTGGTGTGTGGGTTCAGAGCACTGCGGTAGGACACAGGTGGCGCTTTCAGTTTTAATCTGAAGACAGGGCAGTCTTGGCTGCGTAGGAGGCAGATGCCTGAATATATTTGGCTGGCCTAAGCCTTGAGGAGCGGGCTGGTGTGAGGATCCCGAAGAGCAGACTTGAGGCTGAAAGTGGGTGAGCAACCACCACCTAATTAGTTCCCCGATGGGCTGAAAGTAAGGGAGAGGTGCTGTGCCGTGAGCAAATGAGACGTGTGGGCATGTAAATAAGCACCACAGGGCATTCATGAGGTCAGAACCCCCTGTGATGCCTGCAGTTATGGTGTGCTCAGTAAAAGCAACGGGTTGATCCCCGTTCTGGCCAAAGTGTGTGCTTATGTGTGAGTGTATTTGTGTGTCACTGGGGTACCTGTGAAGCCCAGAACTTGTAAATGAATGGGGCAGTTGACCCTGAGTATGGTGAGACCAGTAATATCCCTTAACATCCCTTCCAGAAATATCCAAGAACGGCTCCCTGGAATGGGAGAGCAGTGTGGTGATAGACTATACGCTTAGCATGCATGAGGCCCTGGGTTCCATCCTTCGAACCAACAAAACAAACACACATACACGTAAAATACCAATGCCAGTCCCCAAAGAGTCCCTGAGATGCGTAGACAGAACAGAGTGTCTGCACCAACAGCGAGTCAGCCACAAAATGGAAGCCTGGAGCTGCACGCAAAGCATTTATTCAGAGAGGCCTAAGTTGGTCAAGCTACAGACAGACTACTTAGCAGAAGGGCCTTCTCCTCTTCCTTGAGACAACCAGGGAATCCAGCAGCGGCTGAAGTTCCTCAAACATCCTCATGGTTGGACTGCTGAGGAGGGCAGAGCTTTCTTTGTGAAAAGAGGAAGTTGCTTTTGGTTTTCCCCCCGTTAGCTGAAAAGAAACACATGTGAATCAGAAGCAACGGAGACAGAGCATCGGTGAAGATACCACAGTAGGAGTGTGGGAAGGGAAGCTGTGTTATGAGAAAAAAATGTGGTCTCTGGAATAAGACAGTGCCAAGGTTCGAACCCCTGTTTTGTGGTTTTGATGGAGTTTAGACAAATGACTTCTGGGACTCTGGGATGGGAGTCCTGTCAGTCACTGGGGATGTGTGGCGTTCTGGTGGGCACAGGAGGGAATGGAGGCAGCCAGGGCTGGGGCTGGACGTGTGCAGAACAGCTACTCAGTGGGTGCTATGTTCTTGAACTACATCCCATGCCCTCACTCTTCCACGTTTATCTAAAGTGACTTTATATATTTATTCAGATGTGCATAGGAATCTGAGCGATTAGGAACATCTGGCTTTCACATTCCACAGGAAACAACTGGACTGGGGAAGGGAGAGATGATGTTTTCCTCTAGGAAGGAGGGGCCAGAAGTTTTGCAGGTGGCTCTCCCAGCAAAGGGATGCTTCGCCAGGAAGCCATGGGTGAATCCCTCCCTACAACTGGACCCTCCCCATTCTCTCTTGAGTTGTGAGAAGTTGACTTTTGTTACCTTATATTTATTTATTAGTATTTGCATGTGTGCGCACACACATGTGAGTTTACACACATGTGCATTCACATATACACAGACTCACATGCATGCCACGGCACGTGATGGAAGTCAGGAAAACTTTGTGGAGTCAGTTCTCTCTTTATGTGGATTCTGGGGCTTGAACTCAAGGCCTCGGGCTTGTGCAACAAGCACCTTTACCTGCAGACCATCTTACTAGCTCCTCTAAGTCGTCTTTTACAGTTGCTGTCCTTTTTTTATTAGAAAATTTGTGTACTTATTTTATGTGTTTGGGTGTTTCATGTGCACGCATGTCTGTGTATTATATGCATGCCTGGTGCTGTGGAGGCCAGAAAGGGTGTCAGTCAAAGCTCCTGGACCTGGAAGTTTTTTGTTTGTTTGTTTTGTTTTGTTGGTTTTGTTTTGTTTTTGAGACAGGGTTTCTCTATGTAGCCCTGGAACTTGCTCTGTAGACCAGGCTGGCCTCGAATTCACAGAGATCCGCCTGCCTCTGCCTTCCATGTGCTGGGATTCAAGACATGCACCACCATGCCCGGCTTAATGTCCTATTCTTAATTCAATGAGCTATGGAGTAGACCTTAGAGGGAAGTCTAAAGATAGAATGAGGAGAAATAAAGATAAGGGCTTCTGGAAAGAATTTACAATAAAGCTAAGCCCCAGGCTGATGCCCGTTGGTTAGAGAAGACCTGTATTTATGCTTATGAGTTTATATGGCTATGTAGATGTGCGTATGATTTTGGCAGACGTGGATGGCATGATCTCCATGGGTACTGCACAGCTGATGCACCTTGCATGGAGGCAGAAGACCCACACTTAAAATAAAAATAAATAAAAATCTCAAAAAAAGAAAAAAAAGGTTTAAGAGTCACTTAAGAAAAAGGCTTCTTGCTACTCTCTTTCCTGCTCTGGCATGAAATGTGATAGCTGGGGTCATCCTGAGCAGTTTTGTGCAGTGCTTGGGGGTGGAAACCAGAGCTTTTTTTGTGTACTCTAGGCAAGCCCTCTCCCTACCCACTCAGCCCCCCTCCCTCCCCGCCTTGAGCATTCTTCCTGCAGATAAAGGGGAACTGAGACACACGGATGTCCATACTTGCTCTCCTGTCTGTCCAGCAGGGCATGGTAGGAGGCCACGTCCTTCTGCAGCTGGCTCTTGCATGTCAGCAGATGTGCCCGCTCCTGCTGCTGCTGCTCCGTCTCTGAGCGGATCTCTGCCAGCTCTGCCTCCAGCCTGCCAACCACGGCACCCAGGTTCTGAAGTTCCATGTCATGCCAATGCTTGGCGTCATGGAGTGTGTTTTCCAGACCGCGTTTCTACAAAAGAGTGAAGGTCATCAGGCTGGGCTCTCCAGGTAGGAAGTGTGGGACTGACCTGCTCTGCCCGTATTTCTGGGACAATGATGTTGTCAACTCTGGGGCAAAGACCAGAGGTCAGTCTTAGTGGTTCTAGGGAAAAATAAGAAGGCAACGCTCAGCCAGGCACTGTGGCACACACCTGTGATCCCAGTACTCAGGAGGAAGAGGCAGGCAGACTGCTTGAGTTTGAGACCAGCCTGGTCCACAAAGTGAGTTCAGGACAGCCAGGCTACACAGAGAAACCCTGTCTCAAAAAACAAAACAAACCAACCAAAAAAAAAAAAAAAGGCGATGTTCTGCCTCACTGACTTTTTCTGATGGGCAGGAGAGCTGAAATGGGTGTGTCTGACCATGACCTCTCAGTGTCTTTCTGAGTGTTTACTAATACATCTTTGTCAGGCCCTCTCCCTCTGGTCCCTGGTGGGTTCCTACTGCCCCACCAGGAGCTAGAGATCATCAAGCAAGGGATTCTGGGTCTGCATGGCCTGTGATCACCTCACTCAGGTTGCTAGCTTTTAGACCGTGACTCCTGCACTGGTACCGCCAACACAGTTGTTTTCCTCAGCTACAGAAGGGGAAACTGGGAAGTGTGTCCTGAGCCCCGCCTCTTACATCCTCTGTGAGGGTGTCACATTCCGGGCCCCCTTTCTTCTCCCAACACCATGGCCTGGGATTGGACATTTATCACCTGAGGTCAGCTCAGTGGTCTCTTCAGGCATCACCCTGACTTTAGTTTCTGCCCTTCCTACATTTTCCCACACAGCTCAGATAGTACCTTGCACTATAGCACACATCTGGGCTTCTATCTCCTTTGATTAAACATCACACCATCCCAAGGAGGCCTCGTATGATCCCCGAGTGCTGGGGTTATGGGTGTGCTCCAACACACCCAGCTTTGTCTTCCTTTCTTTTTTGGGACAGGGTCTGGCCATCCTGGAACTTTTCATATAGACCAGGCTGGCATCGAACTCACAGAGATCCATCTGGCCGCCAAGTTGCTGGGGATTAAAGGTGCAAGCCACTATGTACAGCCTCTTATGTACCGTTTCTTATACCTGGACTGTCTCACCCTGCCCCTTCAGCCTTCTCACTCGATTCATTCCTATTCATCCTCAAGTTCAAGTTCAGGGATCACTTGTTTAACAAGATTAGCCTTCCTCGATGCTCCTCAGTCCTTACTACAACTAAGTTGTGCTAGGAGTTCCCCTTCCTCTCCATGGCTCCCCCAGTGTACTTACCACAAGGGATGCGCCTGTCACACAAGGTGGTGAAACTTAGAAGGAAACCAGTCTCTGTGTGCTCAGTGCTCGGAAGGGGCCTGTGCAGACCATGTGGTTGGTATATATGTCACCTGGATGAAGGCACCTGCTACAGGGTGACATCATTGTCCTACTGTTCTCTCTTTCCATCAGACTGAAAACCTTTCCTCTCATTTTTTTTTCTGTGTACTGTGCCCTGAAAGCAAGCACTGGCCAGTGGGGGGGTGGGGGTCAGTGAGGTGTGTGTCCATCACATGTGTGCAGGAGCCTATGGAGGTCAGGAGAGGCATCCGACCCTCTGGAACTGAAGTCACAGAAGCCGTGAGCTGCCACGTGGGTGTTGGGAACAGAACCTGGGTCCTCTGCAAGAGCAGGAAAGTGTTCCTGACGTCTGAGCCATCTCTCCAGCCAACATTTTATTATTTTTAATTTTGTGAATTCATGTGTGTCTGCGTGAGGGTATGTGCACATGAGTGTAGGTGCCTGTGGAGGCCAAATGACCCCCTGGAGCTGGAGAGATAGGTGGTTATGAGTCACCTGACATGGATTTCAGTAACTGAACTTGGGTCTTCTGCTCTTAACTGCTGAGCCATCTCTGCAGCCTCAGTACCTGACTGTTTTCTTTTTCTTTTTTAAAGACAGGGTCTCACTATATAGCTGGAACTCACTATATAGACCAGGCTGGCCTTGAACTCACAGAGATCTGGCAAACCTCTGCCTCTTGAGTGCTGGGATTAAGGTCATGTACTATACTGGCTATGTAACACATAGAAACATTTTTTTTTTTTTTCTGAGTTGAATTCAATCAAATCTCGACGAATTAACTTTCTGTACTCTAGTCTCCAGGGCATGCTTTAAAAAAAAAAATAGACTTCTGACTACTGTAGCTGAAATGGAAGGTCCTTGTTGTGCTGTTATATTAGCTAAATCTCATGAGTGTTCATGTGTGTGCAGCTACACATCAGTATAAGTGTGCACACGTATATGTGTGTGTGGAAATCAGGGGACAACTTCAGACTTTTATTCCTTAGGTATTGAACACATTTCTTTTTGAGGAAGGGTCTCTCTCTGGCGTGGAACTCACCAGCTAGGCTGGGCTTGTCCTCCCCAGCTCTGTGATTACAAGGGCACACAGCCATGTCCAGCTTTCATCTCTCTCCCTCTCCATTTTAATAAGTTTAGGAGATGGAATTCAGGGCAAACACTTTGCCAATTGAGCTCTTTCCAGCCCTTACATGTTAACTCCACGGGACGCGTGAACCCTGAGTCAGGTGCCCAGCCTAGTGCCTTTTAGGAAGACATGTGAGGTCACTATGAACTAAGTGTAGAGCAGCCTTGGGCCTCAGTTGCTATTTGGCTTGTGGGCTCTGAGACTCCTTTACAGCAGCGGGTATACAAATGGCCTAGACTTGAAAAATCATTTGTTTCTACTGATCTGGATTTTCTCTCCTGTTTTATAAAGGAAATGGATTTTTGTTTTGAGCAGACTTCTAAACCCATGTTTGTCTTTGTGTGTTGTTGTTGACACTGGAGCTGTAACAGTTGTGATTTAGAGACATGCTCAGGCTGTCTGTCTGTAGTTTTGCCCAACATTCTAGGTGAGTTCCCCACGTGGCCTGAGGGTTTTCCTTGATGACTCAGGATATCGTCCGAGGGGTGCACTCATGAGATCCCCTTATAGGAGACCCTGTGGACCTTCTATCCCACTCTTAGACCCCATGCCCAGCATCTTTACCTAAGCTTCTGACATTCATTATTTATTCTCTTCCTGCCCCCCAAGACAGGGTCTCACTATGCAGCCCCCAGCTGTCCTGGAACTCACTATGTAGACCAGGCTGGCCTCGAACTCACAGAGGTCCACCTGCTTCTGCCTCCCAAGGTATGCACCACTATGCTGGGCTAAGCTCCTGACATTCTAGAAGGAGATGCCTGGTCCTTCAGAGATGCTTGAGCCCGAGCAGCTCTGGCCAGGCTCCTATTTCATCTTCTGTAGCTCTAGGGACATGGATGACACCAGTAACACTCTGAGCCCCCAGAGGCTCCTCATTCCTCTGGGTTCCTCAAGGCTGGAAGGGACTTCTCTTGAATTGCAAAATCCTCCAGAAAGCAAGGTAATAATTATTTTTGGTAAATTCTGGGCTCGAATTTCACTAAATACAGAGTTCAGTAGGCCTAATGGTGCCTGGCTCTCAATACAAACAGTGTCCAAGTAGCCAACGGAGCTGAAATTTTGGCCAGCAAAGCTGTCTGGCTTCCAGGAGTTATGGACACTATGTAACTGTGTACCCACAGGTTATTCTGACTCAGGGTAGCTGGGTGAACTCTCTTCTCCCCCTGTTCTCAGCCTGTGTTCCTCATCTTGGCTGTAAGGCACAGTAATGGGAGCTTTGATCTTTTGGAACCCACGGGGGAGAGAGCTAGCCCATCTTGGGCTAGACATGAGCATAGGTGGAATGCCATTACTCTGAAGTCTTCTGCTTGGCATGTGAGTTCCTTTTCCATTTGTTTCAGCAGTTACAAGTGTGGGGTTGAAGTGGAGTAACCAGGTGGCTGATGATGCCAACTTGGGGTTCCTGAGTTAGTGGCTATAGTTTTGCACAATAAATCATAATAGATGCCATTTGTTGACTGCTTGCCTGTGTCGGGCACAATGTAAAAGGCTTGACATGCATTATCTAATTAGTCATCCCAGTGACTTTCTGAGGTCAGTTCTATTCTGATCTTAGGACAGATCATATTTCCAAAGGCAGCTGCAACATTTATCACCATCCTGCACTGTCCTTCTCAATGTGACCTTGCCAAGAGTCAGGGCTCAGTGGATCATTTGTGGTGGCTTCGACCAATAGAGGAAGATAGACATGATAGCCGCTCTAAAGCTGAGAGGTCGGGGAGGGGCTGATTTATGCTCAGTCTTTAAGGAAAGCCAGGCGCTTCATCAGAAGTCCCGCCGTAGCAACAAGACGGCCATAATACGAGGAACTGCAAGCTAGCTATGTGGAGAGGTTGCAGAGAGCAGGACACAGATTCACAACTGAGGCATCTCACAGGTGAGTTGAGAAAGGCCACCTGTGGGTGTCCTCTGCAGACACCACGAGGGATAGGGAAGGGCTGTCCCTGCTGACCTCTTCCTAAATCACAGGCTGCTGGAGCACATGATTCACTGTCAGCGTGAGCCACCAAGAGAGCAGGTAAATAGGATGACTAAAATAGATCCTTACTAGACAAACAAGAAAATAGAAGCTCAGAAGGTCATATGACCAGTGAGGAGAGGAGCCCGGGTTCAAGATCATGGTCTGAGAAATACTTCCCAGTTTCACGGGACTGCCATGGCTAGGAGACAAGTAGTGACAGTCAAGGCTTCCTGGTGGATGGGGCCCTCTAGATCCTGCCCCAACTTTGCTGTTCTCTATACCCACTGAAAAGTAAATATACTGACTCCAGTAGTGGGGCTGGCTTCCCCCTCGTCACTCTCTCATAGGCTGAGCCCTGTGACACTTAAGGTGATATCAATTCCTCTATAGGAGACCCTTATTCCCGGGGGGGGGGGTTGTCTAATCAGTCTTTTGTCCTCAGAGCACTTGGTTATAGCTCCTGGAACATGGCCAGTTTTGTTTTGTTTTGTTTGTTTTGTTTTATTTTTTCTGAGCAACATAGATATAAAAGCATATGCTGATGCCCACATGTGGTCCAACAATGCTTTGTGGTTAGAACAATGGAGGAGACGTCATGCTATCCTACTAGAGCTTCAGGCAAACCAGAGACCAGAAGGGGATGCTTAATTCAGTTATCTGAGGAGCTGTGTGGGGTTGGTTCCGGGGTGCCTTTGGATAGCTAAATCTATAGATGTAAATCTCTTACAGAAAACGGTATCATATGTGCGTACGACCTACCCAGTCTTCCTGTGTATTTCCTTAAATCTCATAAAGTATCTCTGGATGACTTACAGGCGACATGATGTGCGTCTGCATAGATGATTAGGCTGCTGTTTAGAGAACACTGATAAGAAATAGAGACTGAAGTGCAGAGTAGGTGCAGTGTTTTTTTCATGGGTATTTTCAGTCCGAGGTTGATTGAATCTGCAGATGGGGAAACCATGGATACAGGGGGCTGAGTGTGATGGTTTTAATTACTAATAATTAGTGGTTGCAAGGCACCTGCTTGCAAACCACATGGAGCCTGAGCTTCCTAGGTGTTTGAGGTTGGGTACTGCGGAAGCAGAGCTTGAGCCAAGGATGGTGGCACATATAAACAATTACAAGACTACTCTCAGGGAAAGAGGGATTGACTGAGGAAAAGAGGACAGGACAGGGAAGATGCTAAGCAAGGATGTAGCCTTCCTGAGATCCAGCTACTGCCTGATCCTGGGGTGAGCTCTGTGCAGCTATTTCCATTTTGAAGCTAGTAGGTTTTGAAGTTTTCAAAACCCTCATCTGTCACTGTCTTGTCTGGGTCAGGGGCATGGCCTAACTTCTTGGATCAAAAGCCTTCTGTTCGGCTGGTGGCAAGTCTCTGAGGAAGCAGGGCAGCCGAGAAGGGGTGTCGGCAGCCAACATTCCCAGCAGAGGCAGGTAAGGGATATTTCCACAGGGCCCCGCTGTGTCTATGGTACTTGTTAGGTATGATTCAATATCTGATGACGAGTCTCAGAGGTCAGAAGACACTTCAGGCGCCCAAACCACATCCTGTGAGAAGGAAGCCCTTTGCAAACTATGAGCTGTGAGACTTCAGACTTGACAGTTGAGAGTTAAACATCAAAACCACCAGGGCTTTTCTTGGCTTACTCACCAGAGCCCTTAACGACTCCGTCTCAGCCTGGAGACTCTGGACTTGGCACGAAGTGTCATGCAACTCTACACTGAGGGCAGCGGCCAGCTTTTCTTCTTGGGTCTGGGATACGTGGACCACCTCCGCCTGCTGCTGTGGAGAGTTAGGTCTCAGGGTGAGTGGAGTTACAAACCTGAACCCATCTCCCCTCCTCAGCCCCTTCTAAACTCTCTGGCAGACTAAAAGATAGCACCACCCTCACAAATCTGCTAACCAATTCATATACAAAAAGTTGTTTTGAACCTTTGATGACTGAAAATAGAATAGCATTCAAAAGATTTGCTAAAGACACGGTGAAGGCTGTAGCTCATGACAAATTACTTGCTTAGCAAGCATATGACCCTGGGGTCAATCTCTGTGCTCTCTCTTGCTTTCTCTTTCTCTGTCTCTCTGCTCTCTCTCTCTCTCTCTGACTAATAACAGTAGGGTGTCTTCATCCTTTCCTTCCTGTGTTCTAATCACACAGTTTTCCTGTTTCCAGTTTCTCATGCCTCCTTTCAGAAAAATTTCACGCACTGATTAACGGCACAAATAGCATTTGAGATCTGCAAAGGGATTTTGATGTTATGTGAACATTACAGCACTATGCTTGCACAAGCAAAGGTGGCTATGAAAATACTAGGTGACATAGTCTTTGGGCCCAATGTTGCATATTTAATCTATCACTGACCAGAACATTCTTATGTTATACAACTGTATTTATAAATAAGTATGCAAAACTGCCTTCTTGTGTTCGCTACAGTACTTACTATGTGTTAGAAACTAGTTTCTGCTAGCATGTGAAGGCGATCATAGTCTCTGAGCAGCTACATAGCTTTGTCTTGTTTGGAGGTACTATCATTTATATAGAAGTTCCCCACTGGAACTGGACTCTGCTATTGTTTCCGGATTTTCCCTGTTTCAAACAATAGCGTAAAGAATAACCTTAGAGGATGCTGGAGGGATGGTTCAGTAATTCAGAGCACTGGCTGCTCTTCCAGAGGTCCTGAGTTCAATTCCCTGCAACCACACAGGGGCTCACAACCATCTGTAATGAGATCTGGTGCCCTCTTCTGGCATGCAGGTGTACATGCAGGCACAACATTGTATACATAATAAATAAATAAATAAATCTTAAAAAAAAAGAATAACCTTAGATGCCCCTTTTTCCATCCAAGAGGGCATCTCTAAGGGATAAATCCCCTAGACAAACTATGTATATATGTAAAGGTAGGGTCTCGTTATGTACTCTCGAACTCTCAGTCCTCCTGCTTCAACCTGCATGTGCTAAGATTACATGTGTCCATCAATATGCCTTTTGAAGGATACTGACAAATTATCCTTCAGAGGACTTTTTAATTCTCTTTCATGCTGGGAGACGGTGCGGGTCCCCACACCTTCCTTCCACAAGGGGTTTTCTAAAGCTTATTAATTTTATTGTTATGTGTAAATGTTTTGCCTGTGTATATGTGTGAGCCCCGTACATATATGGTGCATGCTTGGTGCCTGTGGAGGTCAGAAGATGGTACTGAATTCCCTGAAAATGGAGTTACAGATGCAAACTACCATATGGGTACTGGAAAGTGTACCTGGGATTTCTGCAAGAGCAACAAGTGCTCTTAACTGCTGAGCCACCTCTCCAGCACCAGGTTTTTTTTTTAAAAAAAAAAATATATATATGGATCTTTATATCTGGTAGTAATTTTTCCCTTTAAATTTTTTTTAAATATTACTTTATTTATTTGTGTGTTGGGGGCATGCTTGTGTGGGTGAACACACGTGGTTGCATGTGTGCTATGGCTCATGTGGTCAGAGGACACTCTACAGGAGCCAGTTTTTCTTCCACAGTGTGGGTCCAGGGGCTGAACTCAGGCCATTGGCTTCAGTGGTAAGTGCCTTCGCCTGCTGGGCCACCTCTCTCGGGCCCCACTCCCCATCTCACTGTACAAACCAAGGCAGGTACAATTGTGAATACAAGGAGAGGTCTGGGCTCACAACCTTTTTTTTTTTCCAGAGCGAGATGGATGGGTTCTGATTCCTCCCAGTGCTCTCCGGGGATCAGGTCCTCTCCTGGTGGATGGTAAAATGAGATCACCCTTTCTTTTCAGTGCATTCTGATGTGATGTCTCTGAGCCAGTGCAGAGAGGCCAAGAAAGCCTTTATTTATTTATTTATTTTCTCTGCTGGGTTCCCAGCTTCCTGAAAGTACCGTTTTGAGCCACATGTGAATATGTCCAGAAGCCTTCACAGAATCCTCCCATCTAATTGTCTGCCTAGGAAGCCCCCATCAGAGACTCCTCTCAGTAGCAGGAACACCAGCTTTTGCTGAGTGGAGGCTGCAAAGAGCTCCACATAATGGCCGCTGAGGGCTGGGTAGCAGCCGGAGGAAAGCAGAAACACAGCCCAGATCTGCCTGGTTAAGCCAGTGGCTTCGGACCCCCAGAGCTCCACTGGGGACACCTACAGCTACTTGTAACTCTCACAGTTACAAGTGCAGGTGACAGCAAATAAGAGCCGTCTGATGACCCAGGCTTCCAGAAGACTACACACGTGGAAGCTTTTAGAAGTTTAAAAGCATAAAGCTATTGGCCATACATCATCCGCTTAATGTGTGCTTGTGTGCCACAGTGTACAGGCGGAGGGCAGAGGACAAGTTCTTCAAGTCTTTCTTGTACAATCAGTGTGGGTTCTGAGAGCTGAACTCAGGCTCGTTAGGCCTGGAAGCAGGCACCTCTCTGTCCTGAGCCACCTAGCTAGATTCCATTTTATAGTTATTTTTCTTTATTATTTATTATTCATTTCTTGACATGCGCACGTGCGTGCACACACTTGCTCACAGATGGGTGCAAACACATGCTATGGTGCACATGTGGGAGACAGTTCTCACCATACCCCCTGTGATTTCTGGGTCAGGTTTGGTGTTAGTACCACCTCCCTGGCCATCCCTGTCATTTCTCTACATAGCTGGGGCTGTAGTTGATGGGCAGAGTCTTGGGTCTGATCCTTACCACCACAAAAAGAGCAAAAACTACCAAAAAGTGAGTCTGTGAAATCCGCTACGCATTGAACATAACAACTACTGCTGTGATGATGAGTGATTAATGTACCTTAGGCTCTTAGGCTATGCCCAGCATCATGGATAACTCTAGGTTCGTTATCTCACTGACTCTTTATGACCTTGTGGAATCGCCTGCTGTTACTAACGTTAACTGACATGAGGAGATGGAGGCCCAGAGCCTGAGCAATTTGTCCATCATCCCATGGCTTGTGAGAGACAGAGGCAGCTGTGCAGCCATGGCTTGCTCCCAGCCCTGGCAATGCAGTTGCCTCTGACCACTGACTTAAGACCTCTAAGCTGGAGATGGGTCTTTCTCAGATTTTCATGGATCACCTCATTTTACTACATCAGTGGACACCAGTGTCAGCTGGGACTATGAAAATGGAGGCTGTGATGCAGGAGACCTGGAGCAGAGCTTGGGAATCTGCATTGCTCACTCTTAGGGATGCCTGGTCCATGGGATCAGAGTTCTAGAATGCTAAAGGAACTGATAAGACATCCTCGCTCACCTTACACAGAAGATGACTGAGATGTTACTAATATGAGGACAGAGTAATATCTGTCAATTCTATTACCCATTGCCTGCCTGGTGCCTGAGTCTCATGGCCTGTTTTCTTGCTGATAGTTAAGATTACTAAGTATAGCAGAGGCAGAAAGATCTGCCAGCTCCAACCACAAGGCTTTCTTCTGGTTGAAGGTTGGAAGAGAAAAAAAAAATTCATTTGATCGCCATGTATTCTAGCATGATTTCCTACTATAACCCTGCCCTTCAAATCAATAGTACATGAGATACTCACAGCAAATTGCTTTAACTCTGAAAAATTCTGTGCGTTCTTCTCCACCAGCTCCTTATGTTTCTGCTCTCTGGCAAATGTAATAATTCCCTGTTTCCGTTTCAACTTTTTGCCCACAGATTTCTCCTCAGAGACTCAACAGTAGTCTTGCGGCCCCAAGCCCTGGGAGGCAGGACTCAGTATATTTGTTTAGGGTATATGATAAAATTCAAAGATATCAACATCCGGGCTTTGACACCTTGCCTCCATTTCCGGGTCAGGAGAGCATGCTGCCATTTTGAATTTTCACACTCTCCCACTTGAGAGATGGCTCAGTGATTATGAGCATTTGTTGCTCCTGCAGAGGACCCAGGTTTGCTTTCCAGTATTCACACAGGAGATAAGGATCATCTGTCCCTCCAAAGAGATCCAATGCCCTCTTTGACCTCCAAGGGCATCAGGCATACAAGTGGTACACATACATGCAGGTAAAACACCCATACATATAAAATCAAGTAAAATACAAAAAAGTCTTTAAAAAATTATAGTGGTGACATCTACCACTAATCCCAAGCACTTGTGAGGTAGAGGTAGGCAGATCTCTGTGAATTTGAGGCCATCCTGGTCTACACAGTGAGTTTAGTTAGGGCTACATACTGAGACCCTGTCTCACAACACACACACACACACACACACACACACACACACACACACACACAATTATAATCACAGCTGAGGAGCTAGCTCAGTCAACAAAGTGCTTGATGATCATAAGAATGATGATCAGATTCCCTGAACCCATGTGAACTACGGGGGGACAGTAACCCCAGAACTGGGTGGGGAGTGCAGACAGGAAGACCCCTGGAGCTTACTGGCCAGCCAGCCTAGCCAATGAGTGAGAGATCCTATATCAAAAACAAGGTGGAGAGCAACTGATGAAGATAGCTCTGACCTTCCCAAGTTCACCCACACCTGCATGCACACACACACATGCACATACACAAACATACACATACACACACACACACACACACACACATACACAGTTTGTTGTAATCATAATCAAGTATTTAGGAGTTGAACTATTGCAGTGGAGAGTAATGAAGGAAGACTAGGGGGAAAAAACCCCAAACCTCTAAACCTGGCCACTTTTCTGATGACCACTGTCGGTCTCGCCGGCAGCGCTGGTTATGACTCAAAGCTGAAGGATAAACTGTTTTGTGGGGTGAGGAGGGCAGAGTGGGCTGCTAGCGGGAGGGAGAGTGCAGCAAGTGGCCACACTT